CCCCAAAACCCCAAAACCCCAAAACCCCAAAACCCCAAAATATCAGAAAAATATAGAAGTTTTACAATAAATCATAATAAAAATGAGTAAAAGCACCTTTACCACAATACTACTTCTCCTCTTTCTTTCATTTATATCCGGAAAGAGGCTGAATATCCACATAATTCTACACTCACACAATGACGCTGGCTGGCAGAACACATTCGAGGGCTACTACCAAGAGAAGACCTCATTCATCCTAGAGTAACCCTATAATCTCACCCATAGTAACGTGTACGAAGAACTAATGACCCACCCGCACAAGATCTTCCACTGGGCGGACATCGCCTTCTTTGAACGCTGGTGGAGAGACCAAGATGACCAGGTCAGATACGATGTTAAGCAACTGGTGTTTGAGGATAGGCTCGTTTTTATGAATGGAGGATGGGTCATGAATGATGAAGCTGTTACTAGTTATAAGGAGATGGTGGTTAATATGAGGACTGGATTGGAGTTTTTATGGGAGATTTTTGGAGTCAGACCAAGGATTGGATGGCAGATTGATGCTTTTGGAGCTAGTGCTTCTATGGTATCTGTGCTGCATAAGCTTGGATTTGAGAATTTGGTACATAATAGGCTTAATCCGGATTTTAAAACTCAGATGAGGTCTGGAGATGGGTATAATTTTTATTGGCAAGGTCATCAAGTTGACCCTAACCCTGAGGATTCTAAGATATTCTGATCCATTTTAGAGAACTTTTACATTCTTCCTGATATGAGGATGACAATGGAAGAGAAATTTTTGAATGCCAATATGACTGAATACAGTCCTTATCTCTTTTCTAATTTGATACAAAGATCAATAGATTCTATTGACAGGTACTCTTTTAGTCATGATTCTTTAGGATGTCAAATTTCACAGCAGAAGAGTATCATGTCATGATTCCATTCGGAGATGACTTTGGTTTTGTCAATGGTAGAAAAGATTTTGCTAAGCTTGATGAGCTTTATGATGCTCTTAAAGTTTATTCTGACTCAATTGGATATGAAACTCACATAAAATATGATAGTCTTGAGAATTATTTACAAGACATTAAGCAACTTGATTTAGATTACGGTCTATACAAGGGAGATTTTCTCCCTTTCTATGAATCTACTCCCTCTTGGGATTGGAATGATTTTTGGACTGGATTTTATTCAACAAGAATCCATCTTAAATCTTATGAAAGACATGTGTTCCGAAAGTTGCAAAGCATCAAGACTCTTTTTGCTATCAAAGCAGCTGAAGAGGGCTCAATACCAGGTAAGTGATTAGGAGGTTTTATCTCACTCCTCTATAGATGATATCCAGCCTCTGATCACCGAAGCTCAAAGGAAATGGGCTATCCTAAGTCACCATGATGCTATAACTGGAACTCATTCTTACAATTCTGAAGAGGATTATTACAAGATTCTTGATGACTCTTTGAACTTACTTACTCTTGCTTATGCAAGGATATCTCAGTTAGGAGAGACTATATCTCCAGAGCAATTATCTATTATGGAAGGATTCATTGAGGCCTTGCAACCTGAAAATTCTATGTTAAATATTTTTACAGGTAATTTTATAACAATTTCGATTAATTCCCGATGACTGAACAGTTTTCTGATCCTTTTTAGTTGTAAATCCAACTGCTTATGCAAGAGAAGAAGTGTATAATTTCACAGTGCCAAAAGACCAAGGACCGTTTACAATCATCAACCTTGATGGTGAAGGTATCCTACTTCTATAAAATTTAGACCAAGACTCCATAAATCCAGACAGTTACGTAGTTGATTTAGAAGAAATTTCTACCTACTCTCATATAATGAGTAAAAGCAGAAAGGTATTCCTTAAAGTAAAAATCCCTGCTTTCGGAAGTCTAAACCTATACAAAGTTAACTGTGGCCTTTCCCAGGCTGAATGTGAAAGCCTAGGAGTAAATATGGCTAGCTATGTTAATTATGAACCAATTTCCAGTGAATATGAAATGGAAAATGACTATATTCAACTGAGATTTGATTCCTCAGGCGACCTTAAAGAGTATTATGACAAAGATAATGGGCTCACACAAGAAATAGATGAAGAAATTTTCTATTTTAGGACTGACGGTTATACTAGATCAGGGATTTACCTATATAATCCAAGAGAAGAGAGAAGCTATTTCAAGGTTATTTGGAAACAAATGAGGATCTATGAGATCCCTGGACTTAAAACTATTTATCAGGTCAGCGGAAGAGATACTGAAACTAAAATTTTAAGAACTTTTAGCTTAAACCACAATGGTCATGAACAAAGTCAAAGGCAATTCTTTCACCAAATTGATGCTTTCACTGATGATTATATTGAGATAAATTACAGAATCAGCTTTAAGCCCTTTGGAGAGAATTCAGAATTTAGGTCTTATATTGATGACTCAATGAAGTTGATAGAAAGACCTATCTTTGACATAAATAGTCCCCTTAAAAGAGAAACTGCGTCTGAACTTCTTGGATTTTACACTTTCCCCTCAGTAAATGGAGGGATGCTCGAGGAAACAATAGAAGGATCTGGCCAACAAGTGTTCATTTCATGGGCTAATTCAAATTCTTTGGGTGCTACTCTTTCGGGCCCAAAGGAGGTTAGTTTTGTCATCTTCAGAAATCTCTATAACAATGACCAAAAAGGAGTCCCAGAAGATTTGGTAGAGAGCCGTTCCTCAAACCTTCCGATGATTTTCAGAATGTAAGATTGAGTATAATTATCTATAGAGATGTGGAGGATGCAGCTTTGAATCGAAACTTTGCAAATTTTGCGATCAATGAAGCCTTAGTCACTTTCGAATTGGAGTGGAGCACTCAAGAGATTGCCTTTTTGCCTAAATCAAGCACTCTTTTTGGTGACCTATTTTATCATTATGGCACTGATGGGAATTACTACGAAACTTATCCAACAACTGTAAGCAAAAATATTATTCTTTAGGTGGATGTAATAGAGATCCAGCCTATTGAAGAACAAGGACAAATTGTATTAAAACTATTGGCTAGAAACAGATTTGATACCATCATACTAATTGATCAAAACTCACTCGGTCACTTTGATCAGATTTCAAAATTTGAGACAATAGATCATGAAGGAACTCCTGATGAAAGGTATCCATATTGTTTTAATCACTCTCTAGCCAAACCGGATACAAACATGATGCAAATCGAATAGTTCTTAGTGATATCAGATACGACTTAAACGTAACTATTTACCTCAATCCTTATAGACCTTCGACTTTGCTGTTCCAGATATTACTGTGCCTGATCAGCACAGTCAGGTGAGACTAGATCCTTTTGAGATGAGTGAGTTTGTAATTAAAAAGAGTTCTTAAATTTTTTATTAAGTTTCATTAAATCTTAACAGAGTAGGGGTTTTGGGGTTTTGGGGTTTTGGGG